TTCAAATTTTAAGCATTTTAACAAGGACCATTTTGAACTCTGCGAGACCGGTCACATGTCCCAATGTTTCAAGCCTCCAAAACTAAACAGCATCCCCTTTGGTCCCAAAGTCGTAGCTCAACATGTAGAGGGGTGTACTCAATTGTGCATTCAGGTCTTACACATTCACTTTCGAAAGGGACCCTGTTCCACCAAATAGACCTGAACTTTGAACAGACTACACTATGAGTTCGTTATTCTTAGCGGACATCAGTCGGTCAGAAAAGCGAGAGATCGTCACTAAGTTAACTGGGATGGCAGTAGGGTCAACAACTTCTGTTTCTAAGAGCCTTTCTGCAAATGTGGCTGTGCGAGTCGCGGGAAGTAGATCAAGGTTCATGGGGCGGATCTGATGAGGGTGGATTTGTTGTTGTTCAGACCATTACAGTATACTGGTAGTGGATTGAGACCTGCAGGCTTGCATATCGGCGGATCCTCAAACGTAATGTAGAAGAAGCTCCACCCGGTAGATCTAAGTATCACAAGTTGTCCGGCTCAGCACGAAAAGGCATGGACAGCGAGGGATGTGTGGTACTGTGTACAAAGGTATAGTATACAGATAGGTTTATACATACTTACGTAAATGACCAAGCCAAGAAATACATAAATACTGTATGTTTATATATGTGCGCACACTATATACACATGTGTACATATATACATATATATATATATAATGTGTGCGTATATGTATGTATGTATATATATATATGTTTATATGTACGTACATGTATATACATATATATATATATACACATGTACATATGTGGCTGCCTGATCGTTCCGCACCGACCCGAAGCGATGAGAGACCTTGGCCCAGGCCCAAGGATGAAGAGGCCGCAGGGCAGGACGACTCCAAGGAGGCAGTGAGAAGAAGCTCCGAAGGGTGCTATAGGGTTGGTGCTACAGGGGTTTATAGGGTCCCCTTTTTGGGTGCTATAGGGTTTTATAGGGTCCCTTTTAAAGGGCGCTATAGGGTTTTATAGGGTCCCCTTTAAAGGGCGCTATAGGGTTTTATAGGGTCCCCTTTCAAGGGTATTGTAGGGTTCTATCATTGGGTCCCCTTTTTAGGGTGCTATCGGGTTTTATCGGGTCCCTTTTAAAGGGTGCTATAGGGGTTTATAGGGTCCCTTTAAAGGGTGCTATAGGGTTTTATAGGGTCCCCTTTAAAGGGTGCTATAGGGTTTTATAGGGTCCCCTTTTAAAGGGTGCTATAGGGTTTTATAGGGTCCCCTTTAAAGGGTGCTTTAGGGTTTTATAGGGTCCCCTTTCAGGGGTATTGTAGGGTTCTATCATAGGGTCCCCTTCAAAGGGTGTGATAGGGTATTGTAGGCTTCTAATCTGTAGGGTTCTTACTACTGGGGTTCTTAAAAGGGTACCATAGGGTTCCAGAGTAATTAGGGTCCCCTTTAAGGGCTCCTGTAAGGGCTCTCTCATACTTCTTTACAGGGTTCCACCAGGGTTCCTCCTAATCTAACTACTTAAAAATAGATCCCCTAAGGGGGTTCCTATAAAGTGCCCTTTAGTAGTTAGGGTCCCTAATTAGGGGATCTATTTTTCGATCCTTTTGGGGGTCTGGGTAAGGGGTACCACTTAACCTTTTGGGGTATTTATAATCCTACCATAATTGAAAAAGGTTAACCTTTTTTGGGCTAGGGTACTCAGCCCCTAAGACTATAAGAAGCTTCCACGAACCAGGATGGGCAGACGGACTCCCCACCCTCCTCGCGACCGCCACCGCCGGAGGCGGCTTCTCGCTTCTTTATTTGGGGTTAGCTGGGAGGATCATGGGACTTAGTAAGTAAGGTTATAAGTACCCTAATTGGGGTTATAAGTAATTATAAGCCTAGCTACCTTATTTATAACCCTAGCTAGTTACTAAGTCCCGTGAACCTTTAAGTAGGAGTTTGCATCGCCCGACATCGCGAGGCACCGCCCCCACCGGCGGCCCGTGCCCAGCAAGCGCAGGCGGGTCGTGTGACCTCCAGCTTTAAACTTGGAGTTGTGCTATGGGATGTCCAGTGCTGGCAACGCAAAATTAGGTTCATATCGATGTGGCAGATTTGTCGGCTTTTCGGCTTCTGTTCTGTGCCACCTTTTGGGCTTTATCGTTCCTAGAGGTAGCAGAGAATTAGCATCTGACGGCATGCCAAGGAGGAGGTGACGTAGCTTGCGCATGAAGTTGCCACAGCCCAAATTGCGAGATTTTCCGGTCCATATTGGGGCCACAAGGAGTCCGGATGTGCAAAGTCGGCCTTACAAAGACAGTAGAAATTCTGAACTGCTTATGCAGCTGCTATGTCGGTTTTGCTGCCCATGAAATAGTCCTGGCTTTCCACGGAAGCCTGTGGACCCCTTGCTGGTGTGAAGTGCAACTTCTTGGGCCCGGAGTGTGTGATTCTACGGATCGGTTGATTGTCTCAAGTGCTGTCGTTTGTCTTCCGGATCGCTTCTGCGCAAACGTGATGTTGTACGGCTGAGACGACTGGTCTTGATCTCCACAGGGCTACATAGACCTGATGATTGCTGACTTGTCTCGTGACTTTTCGTGTAAAGGGGTTACCAGGGCCCGGATTACTGATGTATTGCATCAAGAACAAAGCCATAATCAAAGACTTGGCAGGCCCAGCAGCAGGCACAGCAGGCGCGCAGGGGCGTGAACTCGTGCCTACAAAGCTTTGCTACATATACTGTGCTCGGGCGAGGTTGCCAGTGTCATAGTGACCGTATTTAGTCGTTTCCACATCGAACTTGCATATGTTGCCACTAGTCGTGGTGTACCAACTCCAGCATGTTGATTTCGTTAGCAGATGGTCGTCTAAGGTGTGCCCACTAGTTCCAAGGCCAGTTGTCCACAGCCGCGAGTTCGAACAGATGCCAAACTCTTTGTCGGATCCTCTACCCACAGAATCGCAGCACCCCCGCGCCGAATTCCGGCCTCAAGAGGGGTGCTCTGAACCCTGTCAAACCTTGGCACTCTGAACCATTTAACCCGACCCGCAGGCTCAGCAGCAGGTGCAGCAGGCGCAGCAGCAGGCCGCTTCGTCAAGCAGTCTCCGCTTGCGGGTTTAGACTTGGGCAGGATTTCTTGGGTATGCTATCAAGGTTGGAGTGCCCGGAACTGGACTTGGGCTTTTCAAGATTCAGCTGAATCAAAGCCGCAACAAGCTTCTACAGCTTATCAAAGATCCCTTCAGCAGAAGGACACTCGCACCACGTGTATGCATCGTAGACTTGCGTAGACTGATGGATTGATGGCACAGTGGGAAACAACATCCAGCGTAACCCCCTTGCTGCGTGACGCTGCCGTAAAGACAAAAACCGGTTGCTCACTCGTTTCCAAGGACAAGAAGATGTGTGAAGTTGGTTTGTGAACAGAACGGTAATTGTAGGTACACTCTACATCATGCGCCAAACATGACATCCTACCGCGCAGATTGCTTGCCAAAAGCTTCACTCTGCATATATCTTGGCCCTTTTGCAGATTGTTCATGCAGTTTTATGAGGGTCTATCGTCTATAGGATTTTAAAAGGGCTCTGCAGGGTTCGATACGTTCTGTCGGCTTCTTTAGAGTGAAAGTGGGAGCGCAACATGCGAGGCCCAACAGCGAGAAGCACAGGCAGGCGGAGGGGAGTCACGAGTCACGGCACCCTTCCCCACCTGAGCTTCAAAACTGTTGTTTATCCTTCGAAATACTCGCGAAAATCTTAATTAACCCAAAATGCTGTTATCTACATGTAAAGTAATTAGCCCGAAATGCGGTTAGCTACATGTAAAGCCACATACATACGGACAGACAGAAAGCCGCTCTCAGAGTTGCACCGAGTTGAACCGATCCGGCGTGCACCTCCAGAAGCTGACCGACGTCAGAACCACTTCGGAGCTGAAGTCGACACTCTTGGGCCGTTCATTTTGGATATTATATATATATATATATTAATATATATACATATATATATATATATATTTTTTTTTTAATGTATGTATATATATATATATCACAATTGATCTCACTCAAATTTATGACAAAATATAGGTGTTAGGTCCACAAACATGTCAGTTCGTTTGTCGCCCAGCCCGTGAGACGAGCTAGAGAAAGTCCAGCTCCAGGGCACTGCAAGGGAGCACTTGCAACTGACTAGCGGCCGCTGCCTTTGAGTGGTATGGGGGTTTCCGAAAATAGGGGACCCGAATATGGTACCCTAAATAATAGGATCCTTATTATAAGGACCCCCAAATAAGGTACCTTAATGTTCGGAAACTCCCGTATCTTTTCCAGGCCCTGCCTTAATCTTGTCAGCGTATGGTCACGGCTTCTGCTCGGATACGACGAGCTGAGACTCACAACCTTGGATGTGTCCCGGCTCGACCGTTGCTGTGGCCATGTCCTGCTTTCCGTCCCGCCCATTGGAAACGCTGGTTCGTAAGTTCATGCAGAATCCATCCGGCTTTGACCTCGAATCACTTCTGTTACTCTGTCTACCACGACGAGGACTATCGTACGAGCGAGAGGGACCCCTGACCACAACGACGATAGCGGATGAGATGGTGACGTGCATTCTATACACTTGGCAACATGGATACTCATGTGGTGCTTGGGTTGTCTGAGAGTCCAATTAAAGTAGAAGCAAATCATGGTTGGCATGCTTGCAGCTGCTTGTGCTGGACAAAAACTGCAAGTTGTGATGCGAATTCGCAAGTCCTGTCGAAATGGCGTGCGTTGCGGCGTGCGTTGCTTCAGCTTCCACACTTCGAGCTGGTCCCAGCCAGCTCAAATACTGTAGCTCCAAGACCAAAATCCAAACCCTCTCAGATCGCGCTTTAAAGTGGGCTTTGGACGCCACAACCTCGAAAACATCTGGCCTCAATACCGCGAAGCCCCAAAAATGCCCTGAGCCGGAGACCCCGAATCCCTGAAACCTAGAACTTCACTACCCCCCCCCCCCCCCCCCCATGGCAGGCTCGTGAGGCACAGCGGATGAGAGAGATGCAGAATGCGGCCGGGGACTTTGAGGAAGTCATGTCTACAGGGCTTCTATGGGGGGTGACTCTTTGGATTTCAATTTCTATAAGGGCTACTGTAAGGTCTAATGACTTTCGGAATTTTGGGGTTTTAGACAGCAAGTGGGGAGGGATTTGGGCAGACGCACCGCGCCCTACAAGGAGCTGGTTCTTCCAGCTTTGTTTCAGGGAACACCTAAAGCCTAAACCCTCCCTGTACCTTCAAACTGCGATAAAAAATGGGTATACGCAGGCCAGCCTGATGGCTCTGTGAACGGCCTCTCCCTCCACCAAAGCTTCAAGGCTAGAAGCACGTGAATATAGGGGCCTTAATAATTA